CACAGTACCCTCTTCAAAGAGGATCTCAAGGTATCTGCCTGTATTTCTACTCTGAGGGGGATAAAAGCATAAGAACGCTGGTCCAATTCAGAAAAAAATAAGAGAGAGAGGTAGAAAGATTCATTTACAGTTCTTGCACAAGTATATTCTTACTAGCTTGCAGACAAAAACAAAGAAAAAAGTCTTCAACCATGGGCTTTCTTCTTTCCCACCACCCCCCCCGCACACACATATCAATTGCAAAATGCAAAAAATAACCAAAGATAGGAACAAAGTTAATGATTTTAGAGACTTGTAGTTAAGGAAGAAGATGGGGTATCTGGAGAAAAGCCAAGTAAGAAATAGGTGGGTACATGGATGGTTTTCCTATTTGTTTTGTTTTGCTGCCTGCTAGTAAAATTTATCCTATCTTTTAAAAAATTAAAAGTAAAACAAGAAAAGCCAATTTTTCTCTTAGCCCATTGCTAAGAAGGACTGTATAAATTCTTTCCTGAATCAGGAAAATGTTCAATTTAGATTTTTTTTGTCTTTTTTCACTGCATTTTTTGAATGCAGTATTTCTTTTCTCTAATTTTTTTTACAATGGAATATTATTTTTCTCTGCATTTTTAAATGGAATATTTTTTCTCCTGATTTTTTTATATTTTTATAAAAGTTTCTTTCTGTCTCAAATACATTCATATGCATTTATTGGCATATGAAGAAGAGTCGGGGAAAGGGGCAGACAATGGGATTAAGCAATATAGGGCAAAGAAGATTTATGATCCACAGTGATTTGAGGGACTAGGAGGGGGACCCACAGAGCTCTTAGTCTAAGAAAGACTAAGCTTGCTTTCCAGGTGGAGAGGCAGGCCAGCTGGTACACATCTGTCTTAGAGCAGGACCCGGCTGACACTGGGCTGGCCTGGCACAGGGGGTGGATGGGCGAAGCCAAAGGAATCCAGGATAACAGCTCAAGGGCTCAACCATCTCTGATGATAAAGGATGATGAGGGCATTGCAGACAATCAAGGTCTTGGGTAAAGAATTCCTGGGTGGCAAAGAAATGACATGGAGCCTGATGGGCTAGAGTATGGACTCTGTGGAGCCTGGAGCAGAAGATCAGAAGAAAAAAGAACTCTGAGGCTGGACCATTAGATGACTTTGTATTCTTCTGTTTTCCATGCTAAAGGAGTCCAGTTATCTGCAGGATGGGGAGGGCAGTGCTTCTGAACTTGAGCGCCAATGGTGACATATTTGTAGTAGTTTCCTGGAGCAAATGTTCCTCCCAGTTCTAGGACCAGCCAATTCCTTCTGTTTATTGCAAGAGTCATGGCTGACCAAAGCTCCCCTCCTTTCCATGTTCCCTTCCTTGCAGTGACCTCCACCATTCATTGCTTTAGTATTGGCTTCAGATTAGCTTTAGGAAGAATAGAGTTGCTAGATCCTAGACTAGCCACAAAATGCCTTTCTCTCTTACTCACAGAGGAATGCGGTTCTTCCTGGGAGTAGACTCCTTAGGTTGGGGATTTGCTCTCCCATGGCCTTTACTTAGTAATCCACAATCTAGCTTCTAGGTTTGTGGTGGAAATATTGGGTGCAAGTATGATTTTTTTTTTTTGTTACTGTTATTAAGTAATTTCTTATGGTTGGTGAAATCTTGCATACTTGGGTTTTTTGTTTGTTTGTTTTTGTTTTGTTTTGTTGTCACTTTAAGAATTTAACTACAAACTTTCTTTTTAGTTTTCCCAGGACCTCAATGAGCTCTTTCTATCTGCGAGTTTGAGCCTTTCATTTTAAATACTGATTTTTCATGTCAAAGGACTGCTCCTCCTTCCATCTGGTCTTTATTCTTCTCTCCAAATTTGCTCTTTAGGTCCTTGAATTTGTTCTCAGAGTCCTCTATTTTTCCTCATGAATTGCATCTTTTCCTCTGTTTGCTCTGTGTTATGAGCTTGTCTTCTACTTGGTCTTCCAAACATCCAATTCTTACTTCAGCATTGACTCCCCTCAACTCTCCGTTTCTTGCAGATTTTTTAAATGTGGGAACTATATTATTCAAGTAACAAGAAGCCTTTTAATCCTGCAATTGGAACTACTTTAGGCTCTTATAGGTATTTGTTTGTTTGTGTAAGATGTCCTCTCTTTCCCAGCAGGTCTGTTTCCTCAAAGGTTGCCTGCCAGTTATGAACATTCAGCCCACACTTCCTTTTGCTGGCTGTTGAACTCTGTACAGGATTCTAGCATCTCTTTTCCTTGTGGAAGTTAAGTTGCCATAATCAGCCACAGCACACCGTAGCATGGCAGGAGCCCTCATTGTTGGCTGGTGACCTAGTGACCTGAAAGTTGCCATCTCCCTGCTGGGGCCCTGCAAAGTCACCTCTGAGCTCCCAGCCCTCAGTATCCTCACTCTCCCAGGCCCCAGAATAAGAGGGAACCCAGTCCCTGTGTGGGCCTCCCATAGTTTTTCTGACCTCTGAAGTTATCCCCCTTGAAGACACAGGAGTACAAATGTCTCCCTCCTCCTAGGACTATTTGTGAGGCAGGCAGAGCCTACAGGTCTCCCTTTGGCTCCCTCACCCCCAGCACAGAGCTTCAGGCCTGGCCTCAGGCCTCTGAACCAGTGATCCCTGCCTTCTCACTATTCTCAGCGTTGAATACTGCCCTGCTCTTTCCTCTTAGAATCTGGCAGAGCCTGAAGATCTGCAAGAAAGCAGGCCTCTGGGCTCTGCCTTTTGGCTGGGTCCCAGCTGCTGCCCTGCGTTGCACACGGAGGGAGTGGGGTCAGGGCTGGAAGGAGGGGTCGCAGGGATCCAGGCATCTCTGGGAGTCCTTCTCAGGACAACAAAGAAGGCCTGGAGAATTTGAAATACGAGACCTATGACAGGGGTCTAGAAAAATACAATATATTCCAAGGGAAAAAAAAATGATGGATGTCAGAAACTAAGAAGCAGCAAATCCTGTAGAGTTTAAGACAGGGGAGAAAGGGAATAAAAGTGTAGCAAAAACTGATGGTGAGGTTTACCCTGGGGTCAGGGGGAAAGGGTGCTGTGACCAGGGAGGCATAGGGAGCCTAGGAGATGAGATGGTGAGATCACACCTACTGTTCACAGAGTTTACTCTGGAAGGGATGTCTTTGGACAATATTGCAGTAGGAAGAACACAGGCTCTTGAATATATATATATATATATACACACACACACACACACACACAAATACACATGTATGTATATATGATGTTATATATAACATAATCTGAGACACAGTGTTCTCATGGTCTCATATGTAATTCACAGAATTGTTAGTTTGATATGGTAGAGAAAGAAAAGCACCAAGCACGTGGTAGGCATGCAGTGAAGGCTACAATTCTTGCTCTTGCCTCTTATTATTAGATCATAGATTCCTTCCAAACAAAAACATCCCTGAATTCCTGAAACTCAGCATGTTGCAGCCTAATGACTCTTTCAGCAGTTCATGAGAGAGTCCTTTTGAATACGGAATCAGTGGAAGGGGTTCCTGGTGGGGTAGCAGGTAGTACAGTGAAAAACAAGGAGTAAAACAAAACAAAAAAAAACCCAGCCCTAAGGTCAGGTTATAAAACCACATCCTCTGTGTTCTTTCCATCACGTCACCTTGTTTCTCCATAAAACTACATTATAAAACAACATTATAAAATGTCCTCTTGTACATAATGTGCTACTAATCAAGTCATTTCCCAATTCCAGTGCTTCTCTTTCAAGATATTGAAGAAGCCCTTTGGCATGTGAATTATTCTAGTGTCTGGACATTGGCTTCGTAATTGTAATCATACTGGTTATATGCCAGGGGACTGTGTGATACAGTTTGTCTCCCTCCCCATAGTTATCATCCACTAAGACATGTCTACCTCCTTTCTGCCTGTGGAGCATTCCTACAAGGATTATGGGGGGTGAGATGCATTTTAGAAAGAACTGAGATAGGATCGTGGTGGGGGGCTGGGACAAGAAAATCCTGCTGGTCGTGACACAAGTCTGGAAGGCTTTTTCAACCAGGCAGGCAAAGAGCTGAGGTGACAGGAAGTGTGGAAAGTTGGAGAAAGATTTCAGAGGTACTCAAGAGGTGGTGACAAAGAAAAACTAGCAGGGTTATAATTCTGTTGTAGAGAAAAGAAGGGGAAAATAAAAATTGAATTTGGGGCTTTCCGGAGAGCTTTCTAGGTAAAGAGGATGTTTGACCGGTATTTAGAAGATTGGATTATTTCTCCAAGGCACTCAGTTTTCCCTACTTTCTGCTCTCATGAATGGTGCAACCCAAGGGGGCAAGCCTTCCTAGGATAAATTAGCACTTAGCTCTTGCAAAATCACCAACCCCCAAAAAACAGAACAAAACAAAAAACACTGAAAGTTTTCCCAACTAATACTAGTGAAGCAGGTCATTTCCACATACAAAGATTAGTTGATAAACTGAACGCTCCTGAAGAAAATCTACTTTCCCTGAAAAGAAAGAGCATGAGCTATGAAGTCAGATGGTCCTTTTCTTTCCCCTGCCTCTATTAGGTCATCACTGAACTGTCCCCATGTGTCCTCATCTGTGATGATCGTTAGTGATATAATTCATATAAAGCAGTAGAGGTCCTAGCATATAATATGTGCCCCTAAAACATTAGCCACTAGTATTAATTAATGTTATTTCTCAGAAGTAGAAACTTCTTTAGCTATGGAAAGCTTTTATAGAAATGGCTTAATAGTAGTTTAATAGAAATGGCTTAAACATACATATTTATAGTATATAGATTTGTTGGACCCAACAGCACTATCTTAATAATTACAAATACATTGTCCGTGTCAAATATTAGTGTATGGATGCAATGATTATAAGGAATAATGTTGTTAAATAATATGTAGTATTTTATATTCTCAAAAATTAATGCTGAATCTAACTTTATATTTAAAATGTGGCCTCTTTTTAAAATTGGAAAGCTAAAAATATCAGGATTTTAAAAACTCTTTACAAGTTAATAAAAAAAAGAATGAAAAAATATCAAATTTATATAAAAGGCACAATTTATTAATATAAAGGACATAAAGCACATACATATATATATAGTCATTTAAGCTAGAAAAATATGGATACAAACTTTCAAAGTGAATTATCAGTTGCATCAGGTTTGGGGGAAACACAAAGATATAGTATTTCTCTATACCTTAGTAAGACTGAATAAAAAATGGAATAAGTAAAATATTTACTTTTGATGGGATTGAAATGACAATTTGAACTCAGTATCTACCGATATCTTAGGAGCAGATAGAGTATACAAAGAATAAATTGTTTTTGTTTTTTGGTAAGCAACTAAAAACTAAGACATATTATTGTCCTATCCTGTTATTTATATTAATAAAAACCCAAAGTCTATATTCAAATAGTTACGAAAATATTCACGTACATACATGATTTCTTGTCAAAATGTATCCTTCCCTGACCATAAAAACTTCAGAGGAAAAAGAAAAATTCACTTTCCTGAAGTCTTTAATGTTTCTTAGACTATGGTTTTATCTTTCTTCTTAGTATAGCCCTGGAAAAGCAGTTTGAATGCAAAGCCCCTTGACAAAATATCTGCCTTCTAAAAGATGTTCATTTAATATACAAGAAAAGAAAGGCCTCTGGGGAAAGAGGATAAAGGAGTTAGGATTTCTAACTTCTAGGTTGAAAAACAAGATATCAGAAAGCCATTTAGTTTCCTTTACGCTGCTGATTAAAGCCTTCATTTTAACCTTTGTTATAAATCGAGCACGTTAATCACTAAGCTGTTTTTACACAATTAATATTAACGTTCTTCAATCTTTTCCCCGACTCCCCCGAAAAGCAATAGTTGGATTTTATTTATTCAGTGTATTGAATCAGTATTTCATTTAAAATAGAACCCTGTAAGCCTGTCTCTATTTATGTGAGATATAAACATCATGCTGATCTACATACATAATGCTGTGTCATAGAGAAATCACAGCTGTAAAATAATACAGCCTTTAACAATGTCGTTTTGAAGTAACTGGTGAAAGGAAAAGATGCATGAATCATTTTAGAAAACATATTACTGAACTTCCTAGAACAATCAAAGCACTGTGTGTAATACCTCATTCTGCGAAATAGCTTATAGAATCATAAATAGCCAATGCTCAGTTCCTGTAATTAATGTTAGGCAATTAAGAATGGCAAATCAATGTTCCTTTGGGTTCCATTTTTAGAAAACAGTGGGCATTTCAGCCATTTGCTGGCTTTATCAGTAAAGTTAGAAACTAGACCCAACTACACATACTGACTTCTGGAGTACACGCTCGGTGACTTCTTTTCCATGTGATAGCTTTTCTGGGTTGTGCGATGGGAAGGGACAGAGTATCTGTAGCTTCGGCTCTTTTCACTGTAACAGGAAACACAGCAGAACAGTGCCCCTCCAGCGATCAGCACCAGCGCCGTGGTCCAGCCTATGTAGAGAGCATCTCCAAGCTCGTGCTTTTGGGCAGTCTCCACTATAGGGTTGTAGAACTCTCTGATGATGGAATTGGCAACCCAGCTCACCGGGATGAGCACCAGGATGCCTGTGACGATGAAGATGATCCCAGCCATTAGCAAGATGTGACCCTTCACTTTCTCGTCGTCCCCAGTGCACCTGGTGCATTTCATGCCCAGGACAGCAGTCATGAAAGCCAGGAAGGACAGCACAGAGGCAGCACACATCAGCCCTCTGGATGCCTGTAGGTCTGGAGAGAGAGCCAACAGGGAATCATAGACTTTGCATTGCATCCTGATGTTAGCTTGCCTCACGCAATTCATCCACAGTCCTTCCCAGAAGTTTTCAAAAACCACAATGTTGCTTCCGATGAAGGCAGACACTCTCCACTGAGGCATGATGGTGACAGCCAGTGTGCCCACCATGCCAACACCACCAAGCACCAGTCCAGCGATTTGCAGGGCATAGGTAGCCATTGTCCTCCTGGATGGGTTTTATCCCACCAAACTCCTGAGCCAGTAGGAGCAAGTTTCTCTGTGCCTCAGGAGAGAACAGTTTTCCTGTAGTAATGAACTCAGAGCCCAGTGGTTTTTCAGAGCTGCTTTGCTACTTCTAGCTGGATTAAATCCAGTGTTGGCTGGCTGAAGTGCCACCCCCCCCCCCCACATTGACTAGGACAGGTAAACTTACAAATCAGGTGGGGCAACTTTCTCAGCCAATAAGAGGGGGATGGTAACCCAGGTGTGTCTAAACTGACAAGAGATACTTGGAACAACTGGACCTGCACATAAACATTCTTTGTACTTCTCAGTTTTCCAAGAAGACAGCAATATGTTTACCTGCAGGCACAATTACGAGTGTTTGCACAATCATCAAGAAATGCACCAATCTCTTGCAACATCAAAGGTGTACTTTGTACAGGCAATTCTGAAACTCTTTATAAGAGCTTCTGTGACCAAGGCATAAAATAAAATAATCTGCCTAAGAAATTGGCTAGGACTGTCAGAATGCCAAAGTGAAAGGAGAGTAGGGGATTGATAGATTGCTCATACCTGGGAAGCCACATTCTTTGGGACACATGTGATCCGAATGGTTGATTTAATTGTGTCTACAATTTCAAAGCAAGCTTGACTGTGGTGAAATCAGGGAACTGATCACACCGAGGACAAAATAAGACGAAAGTAATTAAATATAAAGGTTGTTCTCCTCCATGGTACCAAACACATATTGTTCTCTTTTGAACCAGAAAAACTACTTGATTGGTACTTTCCTGATAATCTTGATTTATAAGAGAAACAGTCGCAGAAACAATAAATTAGTCCATATGATTTTCTTACGTAGCAAGCATGCGTGATAACAAGCAATGAAGTGATTTACAAATCTATCTTCTTTTGTGGCTCTATCTTTGCTGCTCTGTCTTCCTAGACTGGAGGAACTTGAATTCTGTAGATGGTACAAGAGCCCTGGGTCTATGTAATGGCTGATATTTCTATATGAAATATTTACAGGATAAGGTGACTGTGTTCTTGAATTGAATTGTACTACGTATTAACTAAACTGGTCTTTAATACCATGTCTGTAGGGGGAGATGGAAGCCCCTAAATGTAAAGCAATTTGGACTGTTTCTTCTCAAAATAATGGTGTTGACAGTGGTGGTGCAGAAATAAACATGCATGTTGATTTGGGAAACTCCACTAGCAATTTTCCCCGGATATCCACTGGAGTGCCTTTCCTTTTCAAATCTTTTCAAATTTTGAGCTGTACTTTAATCTTATCTTTACATCATAAAAACAGTCTTTTCTTTACAATTTTACTTCTTCCCTGCTTCCTTGTACGACCTGAACTCTGAGTATGGGGGAAGGCATTTCTTGCTCACTTATTAAACTTTAAAATTTTAATGGTTTCAAAAAATCTTGAGTAGTTTGCAGAGGTTATGGAAACAAAAGTGGTACATGGTAGGGAGGGGAAGAGGAAGATGCCAGAGTGAACTGTCTTTGGAAAAACAAATAAAACAAAAGAAATGGATAGTAGTCCAAATTGTTAATTTATTAGAGGGGACAGGTTGAAAGTTAAGAAATTAACACTTGATATTTGCAATAATTTTCTCATTTGTTGCCTTGTTAAGGACTAAACTATAGGGTGTTCCTTATGCTGACAGAACTATCTAGCATTTTCTCCTTCAGGCTTGTATCGGTTACAGATTTGTGATGGAGAGGGAAATAGGTTGATCTTGGAAAAATAATCTGTCATCCACAGTAAAACAGTTGAAATCAAAACAGCAGATTATTTTTTATCTTTAATTGCCAATCTGGGAAAAGGAGTGGCATAGCTGGTTGAACCAATGACTAAATATAAATTACATAAATATTATACACACACATATACACATATATATATGTACACACATGTAGGGAATCAACTCAAAATTTCTTTTTTTAAATTCACATGTGACATATTTTTAGGAGCTCTGTTAAGATAGAGCTGAATATCCCCATAAAAATGGGAAAACTTGAGACAGGAACAGGAAATTACATACATGAGCGTGTCTGCCTTCATAGGAGCTGCTTCCCAGGCGCACACCAATGGACCCGTTGACTTCGCGTACTATCAAAACTCTCCTTCCTTAAGCATTGAGCTGAACCTGGACCTTACTTCACAAAAAATATTTTTCTCATTTCAAAAATATTAGTACTCTACCACTGAAATTGTCCTGGCCAGAAGATTAGGATCAGAATGAGAAACCAACCCTGGGTTCACATTAGAATAATTATAGAGGTAGCTTGTCCTAGCAGAAACTAGCCCAGGGCATCCAGATAGGTTTCTTATCACACAGTGATCCAGCTAACCCCATGATATTTTGAAATAATTGTGCTCTAAAGGTCATAGGAAATGAGAAAGACAGAGAAAATTGGCAATACCAAGTTTGCCAGGGACAGAAAGGCCTAAATTCAGAGATTAAACAGTTGAGTTAACTGCTTACCTGCTTTTCTATAATATTATGTCTCTACAAAATGACTAACTTGCCTGTGAAATTCAGAAAGCAGTGATGGTTGGAGAATAAACACATTGATAACATTTTTGCTGTTCTTAAATTCAGAACTGCAGAGCAACCAACACAGATAGTTCTATAATCTGTACTTCCATTTCTACGGGAGAAGCGAAAGACACCAAGAAGCCGTGAAAGAAAAGCATGCTCATGTTGACCCACTGTATTCACTCTCTGGAGATCTCCCCTTTGTCTATATTATCGGAAGCATGATTTAAGTTTAGCAATTAAATTTACTAAATTAAATTCAGCCCTGATAACTACATAACACATGCAAATGCTTTCCCTTTATAAACGATAACACACAGTGTCATTGTCAGACTGAACTTGGTTTTGTCATCCTTATTTCTACAGCAATTAATCTTTAACCAACAATTCTTTAGTCTGGGGTTTCTATTAATTCTTATCACTACTTGAAATAATCTTTGCTTCTGCCAATCAAGCAGTTGCCAATTTCTATTGTTTTCTGGATTTGCTTTTGTATTTATTTTTCTCTGTTGTGTTGACAGTTTCAACCTGTATTTATTTTTAATTATTTTTCACTGTTAATTAACTGTACTTGGCTGATCATCTTGTCCTGAGAAAACAAGTGAACATATCAATAGATCTCTTTGTATGTGGTTCCCAAAAAAATATTGTGCATTGCTACATGTTCTTTTTTTTTTTTTTTTTTT